ATTCTTGATTGTTATCATTGGGTCAGATAATGATTATGAGTCTGCTCAGATTTTACTGAAATATGAAAAATTATTATAATTAAAGTTTTGGCAAATATGCAGTATAATATTTGTTAGTGTTCTACAGGATTTACTTAAATATTGAGTACAATACATGATATAAGTTTCCTTTGACGTGCAGAATAGGCTTTATCCAAGATTAGTACAGGATGCTCAACTGATGATAAAAGAGCTTGAAAACGTTACTGTCCTTTGGGAAGAGTTATGGCTTGGTACACTCCAGGATCTTCATGCAGGTTATCTTTTATTCTATTCCCATGCCGCATTTTCCTGATTCATTGTAGATTCAACATGTACACAATCCTAGTACGACCAAAAGAATGCTTACATCTATCTCCTCATATGCATATATGAAGCAACATGGGTTACGTACTATACTACAGCATATGTTTTACAATGACCCATTTTTGGAAAGTTTGGAAGTATATTGTTTTTTGTAAATAAACTTGCATGTTGAACATTGACTTGATAGTTTGGAATAAAGAGCTTGTGTTTTTGGACATTTGGGGTTGGTTGATAGTTAAGGTTTTAGGAATAGTTCTAAACAGGGGACCACATTTTCTTACAAAATAAAATATAAAAAAAAAGCCGAAAAATACAAAAATTAAGAAAATCAACTAATGAACCGGAAAACCTCTAAAATGAGCTTGACTCATCACTATAAAAACACGTAAAATAGAAATAATTTCTAAATAACACATTTGAAATGGGGCAAAGAGAGCAAATGTTTCTATTGTGGTGTCTGAAAAGGTAAAATGTTCCCAGAGAAACCTAACATAGTGAAAACAAACTTTGGCCAGAAAGAAAGTTGTGTTGACTTCCATTTGTTAGGTTGCTATATGTGAGTGTAACTGCTAAATTGTATATTGTTATATTTGATTGGTACACATTTGTTTTGCTCTATGCCTTTCACTTGAATGCTAATGAGCTTTCAGCAGTTAATTTCTCAGAATATACCTTGTTAAGCCTCATTGCTCTTATGAATTTCATCAAACTATTTACGAAAGTGTTTGCAAGCTGGATGCAGAGGTTTACGGCATGAATAATTCTTGTAGAAAACACTTAGCGGGATAATTTTATAATTTTACTTAGCTGCTCCTCCCTATTCTGTGACTTCTCTTTAGAAATATATGTTTGTTCCACATCAATGTGTTATTGCGTTGATATTGCGTACAAGTGTTGGTCGAGCACTTTCTCCCTTTGAGCTAGCTTTTTGGGACAAGTTCTACCAAGACCCATTTATCTTGGTATCGGAGCACCCGAGTTTGTTTGTTTGGAGGCGATGTTTGGTTTGCCCTGGCCTGTTCGGATGCTTCTCACATGTTTGTTCCTCTTCAATTTAGTTATTGGGCTGTTTATAAGTATTGCTTTTGGCACCCTCTCCCTTTGACCTAGCTCTTGGGGATGAGTTCTAGTTCTACCCAGGCCCATTTATCACCACCACCACCATAATTTTATTTATCTTTTACAATGTGCGAGAGTGATTTTACTAGTTGAACCACAGTTTTAACTTTCAAGTTGTTTTCCCATTTACTGTTAGATGTAATGAGGCGCATAAATTTGTTGAAAGAGGAAGCAGGAAGAATTGCACAGAACACGACCCTTACTCATGGTGAGAAGCACAAGATAAATGCTGCCAAGTACTCGGCTATGATGGCTCCTATTGTTGTGGTCTTAGAGCGCCGTTTGATTTCAACATCTCGGAGACCCGAAACGCCACATGAGTCGTGGTTTTTTACAGAGTATCAGGAACAGATTAAATCAGCCATTACTAAGTTCAAAACTCCACCTACTTCTGTTTTGGCCTTAGCAGATGTTTGGCGACCATTTGAGGCAATAGCTACTTCCCTCGCATCACATCAGAGGAAGTCCTCAATTTCATTTGGAGAAGTTTCCCCACAATTGGCTTCTCTCATGTCTTCGAATGCTCCTATGCCAGGTTTGGAGAAGCAAATTATGATATCCGAACCGGAGAGCGGTTTAGACAGCTTAAACGCAGACATAGTAACAGTCGCTTCTTTTTCTGAACAATTAACTATTTTGCCAACCAAAACCAAACCTAAAAAACTAGTTATATTGGGATCAAATGGTCTGAAGTATACATATCTTCTGAAAGGACGAGAGGATCTGCGTCTTGATGCTCGAATTATGCAGCTACTGCAATCTGTCAACGGTTTTCTGCAGTCATCATCTGCTACACGTTGGCAGTCCGTAGGAGTCCGTTATTACTCGGTAACACCACTTAGTGGGCGAGCTGGTCTGATCCAGTGGGTGGAAAACGTGATAAGCATTTATAGTGTTTTCAAATCATGGCAGAATAGATATCAGTTACAACAGCTCTCTGCATTGGGTGCTGATACAAAAAATGCTGCTGCTCCACCTGTCCCTCGGCCCAGTGACATGTTCTACGGGAAAATTATTCCAGCTCTTAAAGAGAAAGGCATAAGAAGAGTAATATCGAGAAGAGACTGGCCGCATGATGTTAAGCGGAAGGTTCTCTTGGATCTTATGAGCGAGACTCCTAAGCAACTTCTTCATCAGGAACTTTGGTGTGCCAGTGAAGGATTTAAGGCCTTCAGTTCAAAATTGAAAAGGTGATTCATACTGATCTTAAATTAGTTGAAGTATTTTATTCCAATGCTCAGATTCCACTGAAATGGGCTTGTAATGACTGAACTGTAAAATGAAAAACGTGGTAGATCCATAAGTTTTAAAAAAAAAAAGTGTTGTAGGTGCAATTAGTCAATTATAAATAATGTGTAGCTACTTTTAAGGGAACAGGACAAGGCTGCGGAATAGATGAAATTATCTGAATCACTTCGCACAATGATGTAAGGCTTCAAAGTCAAAATTTAAACACTACCCAGAAGTATATCAGTTCGGCTCTCCTATCCATATATTTGATTTTTAGTACTTTTTATCTGATCTTGTAGTTCTTTAACTGTGCAATTTCTTTGACTGTTGATCTTTGTTCATGCACTCCAAAGTTTGCGGACAATACATTTGAAAGCTGTAGATATTGCACATACAACTGAACTTAAAGAAAAGTACTGACAGAACTAATTGAAAAATAGTTAGCCTTAAGAGCCAGGTGTTAGTAGGAAAAAATGTCAAGATAAACTAATGTTTGTCTCCTAAAAACTTGGTTTTAGAATTTGTAGATTATTCCATTGTAACTGAAAGGAAACGGCTTGTATAATTTATTTCTTTAATTCAGTAGTGAAGGCATCTGAATTGATGATTTCCAGCTTAATCCTATTTTATTTTCTGTAATTGTGTGCATCCTTATTTGGTCCCCATGATATTTTCTGTTAGTTCTTCCCGTGAATTGGTTGCATGAGACAGCGAAGGAATATTATGTATTCTTTTTCTCTTATGTTTTCAACATTGTTGCATGGTACTTCCATGCAGTTACTGTTTAACAAAATTTTAATTCATATAAATTACTGCAATTAGTGTTAACTTCTTTTGCAACTAATGATGCAACCCATGGGGGGAAAAAGAGTAATTTACAGAATGCGATATGTGAATACTTACTGAGAATTTCTGAGAGGAGAAAGATGAATCAGTAGATGTTGACATAGTAACTGGATAGAGTAATGAGATAACGGTTCAGAATTGAAGCACTGGAGTACTGGACAGATCAATTGATAGGCTTTGTGCCATGCTCAGTGTGTGGATACCTGTGTCCCTAGAATCCGGTGGACATGTTAAGACTATAATTTTCTTGGACAGAGTTTTATTCTTTTATTTAATTGTCAGATACTTTTATATCAGTTTGACTTACTATTTGGTTCCCTGTAGGTTTTCTGGCAGCGTAGCAGCTATGAGTATTGTTGGTCACATTCTGGGTTTGGGTGATAGACACTTGGACAATATCCTTATAGATTTTTGTTCTGGGGATATAGTGCATATTGATTACAATGTGTGCTTTGACAAGGGTCAGAGATTAAAGATCCCTGAAATTGTTCCATTTCGCCTTACCCAGACAATTGAGTCTGCATTAGGGCTGACTGGCATTGAAGGCTCCTTTAGGGCAAACTGTGAAGCTGTTTTAGGTGTTTTGAGGAAGAATAAGGATATACTATTAATGTTACTAGAAATTTTTGTGTGGGATCCTCTTGTGGAATGGACACATGCAAACTTTCATGATGATGCAGCCGTTGTTGGTGAGGAGAGGAAGGGCATGGAGCTTGCTGTGAGTTTAAGCCTCTTTGCGTCACGTGTCCAAGAAATCCGTGTTCCTTTACAGGTATTTATAGCATAATAAACTTTACCATAAAATCAGAATCTCGTTTTAGCATATATTCAGTGTGTTAGAATTTTAGTTACTTAACATTTTGAAGAACTTACTTCAATGTCAAGTTATTGATTTCTGTTTCTGGCTTTGTTTAGTTGAAGTTTGTTGATTCTTGAGCTCCGAACAGGTACTATTGAAGAGCTCGAGTAACATCTTGTTTATTTCTATAATTATTAGTATATCTCAGTTATAAAAAATTGGCTTCTAGCAAAGGAAGTCCAAATCTTCAGTTGCTGTGTTTGTCTAAATGATCTTTATTAATGTTTTACTGCACTTAGGTATATCATCCAATTACATTAACATATTTGTTCTTTAAGAGTTCTATCTGGTCTAAACTCCAATATTGTACAGAACTTTTTTTGGTGATGGAGGTCTCTTTAGTGTTGTGACTCAAATTTCTTAAGTCCATCATCCCTGTGTGTATTTTATTAATCTCAAAATGATGTACTGTTGATTTAAATTTGTCCAGGAACACCACGATCTTTTACTCTCTACCTTACCAGCAGTTGAATCAGCCATGGAGGTTTGTTGCAATTGCTGCCATCTTTAATCTTTTCTCAAGTTCTGTGTAATAAATTGCAACTCACACATCTTTTCAATGTTAAATCACTTGTAGAGGTTTGGGAGCATTTTAAACCAGTACGAGATCGTCTCAAATCATTTCTACCGTGCTGACCAAGAGAGATCCAACCAAATTCAACACGAGTCATCTGCAAAATCTATTGTTGCTGAAGCTACTAGCAACTCAGAAAAAAGCCGTGTTTTGTTTGAAGTACAGGTTCGAGAAATCACTCAAGAACATGCCATGCTCATTGAGAAAGGCCGAGAAGCAGCCTCCTGGGCCGAACAGCATGGAAGGATTATTGATGCTTTAAGAAGTAGTTCTATTCCTGAAATTAAATCCCGCATAAGGCTGGGTAGTTTGGAAGAAGCTCTGTGTCTTTCGTCAGCTGTTATAGCCGCTGGAGTTCCACTGTCTGTAGTTCCTGAGCCCACCCAAATCCAATGCCACGAAATTGATAGGGAAGTTTCACAGTTAGCAGCTGAGCTGGATAATGGGCTTTCTACAGCAGTTGCTGCTCTCCAAATGTATTCATTAGCTTTGCAGCGGATTCTACCATTAAATTACCTTGCAACCAGCTCAGTCCACCGTTGGTCCCAACTTTTGCTCTCTTTGAATAATCTCTCTTCCGAAGTCGTGTCAGCTGCCAGAAGCCAGGGTGCTGAAATTGTCAGTGGACACACTGATAGATTTGCATATGCTAAGAACAATTACGATGATCTTTGCCTCAAGGCTACAAAGTATGCTGCAGATATAGATAGGTTGGAAGAAGAGTGTGCTGAACTTGTGGTCTCCATCGGCCCAGAGATGGAATCAAAGGCCAAAGAACGTCTATTATCTGCATTCATGAACTACCTGAATCTTACAGGCTCCAAAAGTAAAGATGAATCGGTTGTTTCTGGACCAGCAATATATGAAGAGACAAAGAACATGTCATCTTGTGAGCAGATTGAAAAGAAGAAAAAAAGGTTATTGAATATACTAGATATGGCTGTGAGCAATTATTTTTCTGATGTTAAGTATCGAATACGAACGGGCCTTGATTCTTTTGGAGGGGAAAGAATCACCAACAGTATCCCACTGTCAGGTCTTGGTTCATTTTGCAGTGCGTTTGAGGAGCAAATGGAAAACTGTGTTCTAGTAATAGAGTTTCTTGACGAGTTAAAAAGCGTTGCTGGCCTGAATGTATGTGAGTCCGAGGGTGATGCAAACAGTTCAAACACCTCATGGGGAAACTGGGCTTCAACTTTCAAGAACAGTATTATTTGTTCAAAAAACCTCATTGAGAACATAGCGGAAGTGGTTGTTCCCAATTTGATAAAATCTGTGATCTCATTTAACTCTGATGTAATGGATATTTTCGGATCTATCTCCCAAATACGTGGATCCGTAGATGCAGCACTCGAGCAGCTTATCCAGGTTGAGTTAGAAAGAGCCTCTTTGACTGAACTGGAGTCTGACTACTTTGTGAAGGTAGGGCTCATTACTGAAAGACAGCTGGCTCTCGAGGAAGCTGCCGTCAGGGGAAGAGATAATTTATCTTGGGAAGAGGCTGAGGAGCTAGCTTCTCAAGAAGAAGCTTGCAAAGTGCAGCTGGACAGGCTCCATCAGACATGGAACCAGAAAGATTTACGGTCTTCATCACTTTCAAAAAGAGAAGAAAGTATCAATAGCGCTTTTGCTGCTTCTGAACTTCAGTTGCAATCTCTTGTCGCTGCCGAGGCAGAAATGGAATCACATGTCTTGAGAAGGAAAGCACTTCTGGCGAAATTAATTGAGCCTTTCTCAGAGTTGGAATCGGTTGATCTAGCATTGATGTCTCCAGCAGGGCCTGTCACGCATAACTTGGATAGAATTCCTTACCTAGTTGAGTCAATAAATTCAGGACGTCCGATATCCGAATACATATGGAAATTTCCTGGTTTATCCCACAATCATGCCTTTTTCATTTGGAAGGTTATTATGGTGGATCTTTTGCTGGATTCCTGTGTACATGACGTTGCCACATCGTTTGATCAGAATTTAGGGTTTGATCAACTTGTTGATGTAGTTAAGAGAAAACTCAGAAACCAATTTCAAGAGCACGTCAGCAAATACTTGAGAGACAGAGTGGCCTCAGTTTTCTTGACTAGATTAGATAGAGAAGTTGAGGTTTTGAGGCAGACGATGGAACCAGGCATGGCAACGGGTCAAATCCCGACAGATCTCGCGGCTATAAAAAGAGTGCAACCCATGCTTGAAGAGTACTGCAGTGCACACGAAACTTTTAGAGCAGCAGAATCAGCAGTCTCTATCATGAAGAGGCAGGTCAATGAACTAAAAGATGCACTCCTCAAGACCCACTTGGAAATTGCTCAGTTGGAATGGATGTATGATGCGCACTTAAGACCCTTGGAAGATATAAGGCTGATAACTCGTAAATATCTTTCAGGTGTTGATAGCTTATTGCCACTTATATTGAACACCAGCAGGCCAAATTTGCTTGACAGCATGCGGTCTTCTGTTGCAAAGATTGCTAGGTCACTGGAATGCCTGCAATCTTGCGAAGTAGCTTCTGTTACAGCTGAAGGGCAGCTTGAGAGGGCAATGAGTTGGGCCTGTGGGGGCCCAAACTCAAGTTCTGCTGGAAATGCTCATGCTAGAAATTCAGGAATACCTCCTGAATTTCACGATCATTTGATTAAGCGTCGGAAATTATTGCTGGAGGCAAGAGAAAATGCATCAGACATAATGAAAGTTTGTATATCCTTATTGGAGTTTGAGGGTTCAAGAGATGGTATTTTCAGGACTTCAACTGGGGCGGATGGTGTAATGTGGCAACAGTCCTACCTTAGTGCAATAACAAAATTCGATATCACCTATCATTCTTTTATACGTGAGTTTGAAGTCTTCTTGTTTTTATATTCACTGCAAGTCAATACAGGTTTACTTGCTAGTTAGTTAAGATCAAATATTTATTGCCTTCACTTCAGGGGCTGAGAAAGAGTGGAAGCTTGCACAAAGAAATATGGAAGCAGCTTCTGGTGGTTTACTTTCTGCAACCAATGAACTTTCGGTTGCTTCAGTAAGAGCTAGGACCGCATCAGGTGACATGTCTGTCCAAAAATATGGCTATATCTTATTTCAAAAAAAAAAAAAAAATGGCTATATGTGCAACCAACCTCATTATGATAGTGAATACTTGAGACATGAATATTTACATAAACCAACCTGTATTAGCCACTTGTGATCTTAGTATCTTACATTAGCTAGAATTGTGCCCCCCACTCAAAACACTAAATTTCTTTGGCATATTAGAAAAAGTTCTATCGTGGTTATTCCCAACTTCTGGTGTTCCAGTCTTCAGTACTGTGGTGAAAAATAAATACCTGATTTACTCTTAACTTTTTTTGTCAAACTGATGCTGGCCTTGGAAAATGTGAATATCTTACTTTTTCCCGGTAAAAGAGCTACTGTTACTCCAAGAATGCTGGTCTTTAAACAAATGACACAACTGAAGATCCTTGGCATCTTATAAGATATTAGTTTAAGAGCTCAAGGCATAAACCTCGTTAAGTGCATCATGTGGAACTTATTCAACATTCATTTCCTTTGTCGCCAAGAACTTAGAGCATGTTTGTTTATGGAAATTTTTTGTTTTGTTTAGATTTTTTTGTTTGGTTTGGGTAATTTTGAAAAATGTGGTATGGTTAGGTGTTAGTGGGTATATTAAAATAATATTTAAAATAAAATAATTAAAATTGAGTTGATGTAAAAGTATGAGAGAGATGATTTGAAGTGATAGTTAGTTAAAATAATGTGAGTGGATGAATAGTGAATTAAGGTTAATGTGGTGTGTATGATTGATTGATTGATATTATTTAATTATATTGATAATATTGATGATAGTGTGGTTGAGTTAAAAAAAGTGGTTGGATTAAAATGTTGGAAATTTTTTGAAAAAATCTTATAAACAAACATGCTCTTAGATTGAGCCTAATTATTAGGTTTGAAAACACTTCATGAGTTATTAGTAGCTTTGATGTGCCAGTAATGCGGAACTAAACATTTTATTTTGCAGGTGATTTACAGAGTACTCTTCTTACAATGAGAGAGTCAGCCTACGACGCCAGTGTTGCATTGTCCTCATATGCGCGTATCATTGGAGGTCACAATGCTCTGACTTCTGAATGTGGTTCTATGCTCGAAGAGGTATGTATTGTATTCATAAGAATTGCATGTCTCAAACAAGCATTAAATGCAATTGTATTTTGCATTGGATTCAATGGGTAGTTAACAAATAGTTAGAAACTCAGCAGAGTATATTAAGAAAGATGAGATATTATGCAGCTATTTATTTATAAAGTTACCATAATCAACTTTAGGTGATTAACGGGTCATGAACTTTCAGTTATGCTGGCACATTTTTCTTAAAAGTTCTGTAACTATATCCACATGAATTACCATTAAAACTTATTTACACGTCTTACCATCTTAATCTGAACCAGGCTCACAGTTTCCGTTCCTTTTTTTCTTGTTGTTACATGATTTCTCGCTAACCTTCAGTCTGTCTGCAGGTCTTGGCCATAACAGAAGGTTTGCATGATATTCACAGTTTGGGGAAAGAGGCCGCTGTATTACACACATCTCTAATGGAAGAACTCTCAAAGGTGTTTTTATTATTATTATTATTATTATTATTATTATTATTATTATTATTATTATTATTTTTGGTATCAAGCTTTCTGTTTCTTTAGTTGCTCTCTTTCTTGCCATCTCATTTGACTGCATGTTTTAAACCCTGAATAGGCCAGTGCAGTCCTTATCCCACTCGAGTCCCTACTCTCAAAGGATGTTGCTGCCATGACTGATGCCATGGGTAGGGAAAAAGAAACAAAATCAGAGATATCCCCCATTCATGGACAAGCCATTTTCCAGTCTTACCATAATAGAGTCGAGGAGGCTTTACGAGTGTTCAAGCCCTTAGTACCTTCTCTTACTACTTCTGTCAAGGGGCTTTACTCCCTTTTGACTAAGCTGGCTAAGGCTGCAGGTCTTCACGCCGGCAATCTTCATAAAGTAATTAAATATATTCAACAAATTCTGTGAATCATTTCATTTGTTATCTGGCATGTAGCGATATTGAATATATTAATGTGTATATATATTTTTTTTAATTCGTCATGACTTCCTTTTTATTATCTATTATTTTTTACATTTTTTATTAAGGCACTTGAAGGAGTAGGAGAAAGCCTGGAAATAAGGTCACAGGACATTGATCCCCTGAGGACAGATATAGCTGATTCTGGTGCTGAGTATAATACACAGGAGACCGAGATTTCAGTCAAATCTGATGTTGAGGATGCAAATGTTTCGGTTGGTCTGAATGAATTGACTTTACGGGAAAGTGGTTGGATATCTCCACCAGAAAGCCTCGCTGATAGTAGTGGAGAGTCTGGTGGCACATCAGCTGGAGGAAGCATTGCAGATAGCTTCAGTGGACTCGATATTACTTCACCAACTTCAGGTGGCTCTAATAGCCACGAGAAAGCAGATTCTCAACCATACTTCCCGTCAGGTGTGACTGAAGGTCTCGGGTCATCACCTCGTGAGACACATTCAGAAAATAAGCAGGTTTTTATTTAATAAACATCTTTTTTCTCTCCTTTTATATTTATAAAACTATATGGCTTTTTTCAGATTATATAATTTTTTCTCTTGCTTTTTTTTTTTGGCTTTATTATTGTTATTAGGAAAGCTCAGATGTGGATTCTGGGCACGAAGAGGTAAAATTTGTTCTAAACCACGACAATGCCGAAGGACTACCGAAACATTCCTTCAATGTCGGCCAAGGGCGTGCGGGTAAATTTTCTCTCCTACGAGGAATAACATTTTTTTCTGCATGTGTGTGGGACTATGGCAGAAGAAAAAGACGAAGGAAAACAAAGAAAATTGAACACTGAGAAGATTCTCTAAATCATCAAGTTTTACACCTCGCAGGCAAAAATGCTTATGCAGTGACAATCTTAAGGCGAGTCGAGATGAAACTTGACGGGCGAGATATCACCGACAACAGGCATGTATATATATTTCCATTTTAATGCATTTGTACAAAAAGAAGAAAAAATAAATAAATAAAACAAAGAACAAATCTGTATCAACGAATTTGGCATCTGACCCGTGAAAAAACTGTTGGACCTACTTTTTTTGTCTCAGGGAAATCAGTATTGGGGAGCAAGTTGATTTTCTGCTCAGGCAAGCTACAAACATCGACAATCTTTGCAACATGTACGAAGGTTGGACACCTTGGATTTAAAAAATCATCCCACATTGGAGAAATTTTTCAAAACACACAGACCCTAAAAGATTGAGATATGCCTTCATAATGGAACAATTTTTTTGAAGAAATGAAAGAGGCGAATTTGACAACATTCCACGGCCTGCTCGTTGGATTTTTTAATCCCTAAAGAGGCTCCCCAAATGAATCACAAAATTCATCAGTGAGACGTGTGTTGTGTTCGCCAGTGGTCGATTGCGAAAAATGGTCTGGTGGGTTGACTGGAGCCATCGGATTTCAACCGGTTATTCTTCAGAGACCCAATCTATAGAGGACATGTGGCGGCATCTGGTTGACCGATCGGTTGAATGCAGTATGACTCGGATGCTACACCGAGTTGGTTGAACGTTCTTGAGTCGCATTTTTCCTCTGGCATATCTATATGTACGAAGTTACTATTACACTATTACAATGCTCCTCGTTTTCAATTTTCTCTGCCAAAGGTAGAAAGAATAATCAATGGTTTTGGATTTTTGGATTAGCTAAAATTTGTAGTGATTTTTATGAATGAACTCGTTTAAAATAATTACGCGTCAGATTTTCTGATAGGTGGTAAAATTTTGAGAATTTAGCAGAGTACAATAAAATCCTATTTATATAGATCATAGATGTGGATAATATAAGGTGCAGAATTGTTATTATTACGAGCCATTTGTTTTTTTTCTTTTTTCTTTTCTCAAACGATTGTAATTGCATTAACAAACTAATATGTACAGAATTCATGGGCCAAAGTGGATTTACTTACAGCAACAACCCACCTGGACACAACAACAACAACATAAAAACTAAAATACTAATAAAACTAACAAAAGCACCACCACTCCAACCCTACAACTACCAGCAAAACAGCTACTAACTAAAATACTTACAACATCCCAGAAACAGAGACACAGCAAAAAACAGAAACACAGTCAACAGCAAAAAAACAGAGACACACAGGCAACACCAAAATAAGGATCTAAGAACCACAGCAGACAACTTGAACTTCAATCCACCCACCTTAAAAAAAAAACGCAAATCAAAACCATCTTCAAAATTGAATGAGAAATACCACTGGATATCCATAAGACTCCCTAGTAAATCATTCACACCCCTCAGCAAAACAAACCACCTTACTAACTCCAACCATACCTTCCACAATCTGCCATTCACAAACCTTCCTTCACCTTCTGAAAAACCCATAAGTTACGGGTTTTCCATAGCCACCACAACAAATACACACTCAATTCAACCCTATCCACATAAATCAATCTTGCTCGTTCACACAGAAAAAACAAATGCTCCAAGGATTCCTCTCCATTTCCACACACAGCTGACAATTTCACATTCCTTGCAACTAAATTGCAAGCAGTAGGAAGAATATTTCTAATACACTTCCACAGAAAATTTTCAGTTTGTTTTTTACAGACAAAGACCACAACAATCTAGTCCATAACTTTCTTTCCTCCCTTTTACCTGAACTACACTCTGGCTTATTATCCCTTCTTAACACTCGTTGCAAGCAAATCAACTTATAGGCAGATTTCACAGAGAAGGTACCTTTTGAATCAAAATGCCAGATAAAAGAATCAGATTTACCCAAATTCTGTAGAGGAAATTTTAAGATTGCAGCAACATCACCCGAATGAAAGAATTCCTCAATAAGCCTTTTATTCCAACCCCCATTTTCATCCATGAGCTGACATACCTTTTCCAAACCCCCATCATCCTGATACCTCCCTTGCAGCTTGAAGTCCAAATTCCCAAGGAGAAGACCAAATATTTGCAGTTTTACTATCGCCAATTTGCAGCCTTAATCCCATATGTAGAAATATACCAGCCTTGGCCCAACATTTCCACAACCAAGATTGGTTGTTCTTTACTTGCAGATAATATTATTATATCTGGCCCTCACGACATTGCTCATCAATAAATTGGGCCGAGTTTGAATTCTCCAGAGCTGTTTAACCAAAAGAGCCTGCCTCATTGAACAAATTAAGATCATGAAAACCCATACATACCTCCTTGATTTTTTGGAACTGCCAACTTCTTCCATTTTAGCCAATGACTCTTTCTCCTATCCTCAGATCCATTCCTGTTCCCCACCAAAAAGAGACTATCAAACCTGCAGGAAGTCTAAAACAGGACATTACATCACTGACAATAAATAGATTTTAACAACACTTCCTTCCCTGCTTGGCTCAAAAACTGATTTTTCCACCCTTGAGTTTTATTTCTAACCACATCAACCACAAATTGAAACACATCCTTTTTAGATTTCCCAATCACCATAGGCAGGCCAAAATATTTAGATTTGGACTGAACTTGAATATTTCCCAAAATTGAACAAATAGAAGCATTCTTACTGAAAATACAAGAGGATTTTTCAAAATTAACCAATTGACCCGAGTTATAGCAATATCTGTCCAGCAACTCCTTGATAACATAAGCATCATGATCTTCATCCGCTTGACAAAAAAGAAGAGAATCATCTGCGAACATAAAAAAGAATCAAAATTCAGTGGAGGTGCGGGGAATCGAACCCCGTGCCTCTCGCATGCGAAGCGAGCGCTCTACCATATGAGCTACACCCCCGAGGTGTGTGTTCTTCTTCAAGTTTTAATTTATGACATACTGACGGAACTTGATATTTTTGAGTGACGTTTTGTTGTGCCAAATATATCTTGCTTGGTTTAGTGCCATAATCTTACAATTCACTATCTGGGCATGTCCAGGAATCTACAATTCGCACTGCCAAAACATACTTTTGATTTTATTTTACACATTCAAAAAAAACCAAAAAAAGAAAAACACGGGTTCGTCTTTTTCTTTTCCCTTTATTCTTCAACCATCACCATCTCAGCCAAAATCTAACAATATTATTTATATTCCTGCAGATATTTTTGTAAGGGGTCTTTGGGCTAATTGCTCTTGTTGATTTTTGTTAGCTAAAATTGCCAAAATAAATGAATAGTTAAAAGCTTAGAGACATTGGTCCCTCTGAAATATTACAAAATCCAAACTCATGCGAAGGGCAACAAAAATATGTCGTGTGAAAGCTAAGAAAATTGTCTCACGAAAATTGCATACAACCAATGGCTACTAAAAGTTATAATTTTTCCATTTGGAATTACATTCAAGTCACGTGGTGGTGTTTTATAACACACAAATGAAAATTGGCAACTAATAATTATACATATTTTATATATACAAAAATATATATACATAAAATAGGAGATATAACATGAATAATTATGCAGTGCAATCTAACACAAAATTCTGCACATCTTTGTTTNAAATCAACATTGCCATAAAAAATATGTTCTAGTTTATATTTGTTGTATAGAATATTATCTTAAGTTAATTAATTAAAAATATTTTTAAAATGTCAATTGTCTTACTATATGAGAGGTAGACATTGCAAAACTTTAAAGTTCATGTCTAATTTAAGCCCATGAGATCCCTTTTATTCCTTTCATGCTAGAATGGTAATATAGAACTAAGATAAATTAAATAAGTTCTTATTATTTTATGGTATAATATTCTAAATAAATTTTATGAACTACATTTTTATCATGATTTATTTTAAGAGATAACTTCCAAGTTATCCACTTCTATATCAAATAGAATTAACAGACAAATTTTCATTCGTTTATAAAATTAAAGATTCAATAGATGATTAATTATGTATATATATACAAAAATAAACAGATAACAAAAAAAGAGGAAGTCGAGCATATGAAAAGAAAATCGTGTATATATGTTTGACCCTTTGTATTGTATAGTCAAAAAAAATATGCCAACAATCTACGAATATACCACAAACGTGTCCTTATAAACTTTTGGGACCATTTATATAATTCCAAGTTTCCAAAGCAATAACATTGTTTTTCTCTTAAAACCACACATTTAATTCACTCCCCTCAATAGTGTCTCATTATAAATAGCCTCAAACTTGTTGAATATTCTTCATATCAATACTTCTCATTGAGATCTTCAAAGCAAAAAAAGAAAGAAAAAAAAAAAGGTGAGTATAATCAAGTTGTTATATGGCAAAGGCTAAAGCAAGAAATCCATTCATGGAGAGAGCTTGGAAAAGGGATAATAATGGTGATGAGGAAATAGAAAATGCAAAGGCTCAAAACATGAAATGAATTGCTCTTCATCATCTTCTTCTTCTTCTTCCTCTTCTTTGTCGAAGGCTACTTTAAAGTCACGGGAAAAGGCGGTGGCTGAAGTCAAAGAGAGTATGCCAGAAACGACTGTGATGTTGCTCATTGACCGATTTGCCCCTTGTTGATTAATCCAATGCATTGAATTCATTGAATTGGAGAAAATGAAAAGTTTATATGGTTTACTATAAGTGTATTTTGTTGGTTCAATAGTGTTATTTTTTTTACTTTGTTGTATCATATATGTATAGTTTTGGCTCAATCTATATTCAAACTTCTTATATAATAATAGTTGGCTTAACTTACAAAATGAATAATATTATTTGTTTTAGTTTCCTCATAATAAAATTTTAAACACGAAAAATTTAATATTTTACTTTATGTTGTTTACCTATTTCTTTTTAACTTTCACTGGTTAAGTTTGAGGTAATTGGTAGGAGGAGATTTTAAATAAATGAAACTTTAAGGATGAATCTAAAGTGTTTGTTTGATAACATCATAAACTAATTTATAACTTCCTATAATTTTTTTGGTATTCAACCAAATTTGATGTAGTATAATGGACTTTTTCAAAAATTTGAGCTTATATCATATATTATCTTCTACGTGAGGTTTCAAGAAAATTGATTTAATTTTTTTTTTTTTTCAGATGACTTATTACCTAACTTTGCTATATATTTTTTATATCAAGGATGTTTCAATTATCAAGCATAAACTATTAGCCATTGTTTCCAAATTAACTTATGAATTATTATATGTTATTTCAACCCTAATTTACCAACTATATACATATAAGTGAAAAAAATCTTATTTTATATATAAATAATAAAGTGAACATGCCTACAAGTTTGTTTAACAATTATTAATCAAATCCCTTTTAGAATACAATACTGCATGCCTATCACCAAACCATGGATTGTTATTATTCATTATTGATTACATGAACATGTAGAGGTTACATAATATACCCAGAAATGATTAGTGTAATTTACCATTAGATATCTCCTAAAATAAATTGAGAACACCAAAAAATTTACTCACTATAAAAAAATAACAATAAAATAAAATCAAGGTATTAAAAAAAAACATTTTCTTATATGTACACACAAATTTATCATAAATTTCATTCCGCTCACCAAAATATTGTCCAACTCCAAAAAACCCTCACACACTATATTTTTATTTTATTTTATTCTGGGCTTTTTCTTAACAGTTAAGGCCTCGTCACCAAATCACAACCTGTGGGCCCCACTGGTCGGCCTTTTGTCTAAACGCACCCCAACCGACCTCAATCATGGCGCAAAAATCCAAGGAGCCGCGTGCGCTCCACTCGCCACGCGCCCACCTCACTCCCCTTGCAGTTCCCTCATGCCCTCCGACACCCTCCAAACCTTCACGCTCTTATCCAGACTCCCACTGTACACGATCCACCGCCTGTCCTCGCCGTCCTCGTCGCTGCCGCTGCCGTCTCCGTCGACGTCGCCGCCTTCCCTCTCCACGGCCAAACACTTCACCGGCCCGGCGTGCCCCGTCAGCACGGCCAGGCACGAGTGCGCTCCCCCGCCGTCCCTCCGCCACACGCAGATGCTCCGGTCCGCCGACCCGCTCGCCACCAGGCTCCCCCCCGCCGTCAGGCACAGCACCGCGATCATGTGCCCCCTCAGAACGCCGCCGTACGCCACGAAGTGCTTCTCCCGCTCCCAGAAGCTCACCAGCCCGTCCGACGAACCCGCGTACAGCGCCCCTCCCGCGCCCTCCTCCGCCGCCGGCCGGCTCACCGCCAGCGACGTCAGCGCGTGGTCCTGCTTCAGCAACGTCCCCACCAGCACGTGACCCGCCGTCCTCCCCACCAGCTCCCTCCGCCACGCTTTCACCGTACCGTCGGCAGATCCGGTGAACACGAGGCCGTCGAATCCGACGACCACCGCGTTCACGGCGTCGTCGTGGGCCCGGATCGACTCCAGGCACTTTGAATCCGAGATCCGCCACACCTTGAGAGTTCTGTCCCACGAACCCGAATACAGCAAACCCTGATCCGGATCCACGCTCAGGCACGAAACGGCGTCGTAATGCTTCACCCACGGCACGTTCCGGTGCCGGCGCACCTCCACGTAGCTCCTCGGGTTGATCGATTTCATCAGCAGATCTCGGGTCGTCGGTAAATTACCGACCCGTTTATGCGTTTTCCTCTTGTCCCCCAAATACCTCCAGACCCGGATCTTACCGTCCTGGTGACCCGTAAAAACCCGATCCGAAAACACAACAATCGCCTTCACCAGCCCGCTGCCCGATTTGAATCCGGAAAACTCCTTCATATCCTTCCAGACCCGTAAGTTCTTACTCTCAGATCCGGTGTACAGCAAATCGCCAGCGGCGGCGAGTGAATAGATGTGGCCTTCCTCGCGGATTAGCGACCCAATTAGGCCGTTTCCGGCGAAATCGCGCGGCGGATCGCCGCCGTACGGCGGCGAAATGGACGAATCGACGATCTGGTACGTCCACGGCGACTTCGCGTACGGCGAGG